TGGCATGGCATTGCATGACATGGTTTTGTACGAATATGTGCATATGTATGTATGTATGTATGTATGTATGTATGTATGTATGTACGCACGTACGTATGTATGTATGTATGTATGTATGTATGTACGTATGTATGTATGTATGTATGTATGTGTGTCTGTATGTATGTATGTATGTATGTATGTACGTATGAATGTATGTATGGATGTGTGTATGTGTGTATGTGTGTATGTTTGCCTGCCTGCCTGCCTGCCTGCCTGTCTGTCTGTCTCTCTGTCTGTCTGTCTGTCTGTCTGCCTTTCTGTCTGTCTGTCTGTCTGTCTGTCTGTCTGACTGTCTGTGTGTATGTATGTATGTATGTATGTATGTATGTATGTAGACAGATAGATAAATAGATACACCTTTAAATCAATGAGTAGATTCCCATAGGTAGAGAGCTAGCTAGCCAGCTAGCTGCTAGGTAGATAGATAGATAGATAGATATGTACATATGTGTATATGTATGTATATCTATCTATATATATATATATAGATATATGGCCCCCTGAGACCTGCAAGGAACACATTTGAAGGGCAAATGGTGCTGTCAGAGTCCTGCGATTGGAATTTTGCATCCTTACACACCACCACCTGCAACCTTTACATCATTGCAGCACCCACATCTTTGCCACAAATAAAAAAGCTGGCGTAGGTCAAGACGTTCCCTCCTTTCGCCGGGCAACGGTCTCCATGATTGCTTGGCAATCACCAACAGACTGCGCCCCACAATCATATCATGAAATGCATTTCCCACTGCCACCGCATGTTGTCCCATCTCTAATCCCGACCGCACATTGACATTGCGAAAAGCCTCTCTCAATCTCAGTGATCCCCTCAGCAGATTCCCTAGGTGACGACTTCCATTTCAATTAAATCTGACAAAGTCACAAGCTGCTGCTTTTACCTTCTATTCCTGCAAGCCTTCTAGTTGTCCTGCCAGGATACACAGAAGTACGACTGACAATGCTAATTCATCACCAGAACCATACTCATCGTGAAGCCTAAACCTTAAAACCCCCAAACCGGAAACAGTCATCAACCCAACACCGCCGTTGAGGTGAGCTCCCGATTCGTGAGGTAAGCCGATGCCAGCGCAGTAGACTCTGACCTTTTAAGCCTCGAGTGCGGTCCAAAAAGGAGGGTTTAGGAGTTAGTGGGTTTGGGGTTTAGGAGTTCGGCTTTAGGAGTTAGTGGGTGGTTCTTCAGGGTTTGAGGGTCTGTAGGGCTTGTTTCCACTTCGCTGGAGCTGTGCTGCAATGTAAGTACGCACGAATCGACGAAACTTGTGCTGCTCAGTCTTCGTCAAGCTAAGCACGGACTCAAGCGCTGTGACATCAGCCCGATTTGGGCTGGTGGCCTCTTTGGCGACACTACCCCCGCGAACGATCTGCGCCACCAGTGGAAAGCATACTATGACACAGAGAGTTGATTTGGCTTGCTGGAGCCTGAGTCGTCGGCAAAAACCCGCGCCGCGCCGTCTCAGTTGCAGCATAGAAATGTCGCAATATTCACAAGTGGTCTCGACTTGCCACAAACTGTCAGACTCGGCGGTCCCCTTCCCAAGCCCCGGTTTGCGCTTCTCGGCCATGTGAAAACCCGTCGTGCAGCAATTGGGAGAGCAATGCAGGCTGCACGAACAAACGACGCCTTGCAATCGCAGACTCGGAGCAGGACCACCTCCTTCATCGCGAGGATGCGATCAGGCCTGGCTGCTGCGGCACTTGTGCAGCGACGTGGCACAAACTGCTTGCCGCGGTTGCACTGTGCTTAGCCACGCTGCTCGGACCTGGTGCTATGGTGGCCTTGGCTTCCGCTCTGCTGCAGCGGACCGGCTCCCCGCCGCCACGTCCAGGTTGTCTGTGCCACAGGGCAATGCTGGGGCGCAGTGCGATCGGAAAACCCGGACGTGGTCTTGCACCAATCGCAGGGCCTCTGTATGCCAGCACCTCGCGCGATTTCATGCGCCAGTCTCCGCGTGCCGCTTTTTCGTATCACTTGCTTTCTTTTTTTTGTTTCGTGTCACTTCTGTTTTTTTTTTACTGTTCGGAAGCAACGGTCTCGAACGAGAGGGCTTTGGGTGGGACCTGAAATAGGAAACCCTCGGCCCTCTCAAGTCGACGCCTCCAGATTGCAATCGGGGTTCAGACCCCTACTACACGTAGCCGAAGCCCGAAAAGGAATAAACCCAGATCGAAACCCTAATGCAAGCAGGCCCAAACCCTGAAAAGTGAAATAAGTAAAATGTATGCTTGAAGGAAAGCCGAACCCTGAAAACTAAACGGAGTAGTTGGTAGTGGTGAATCCCAGAGCTCCCGGTCCCTCAACCAAAGCCTCCGCCTGACAGGCATTCTAACAGCAAGCACAGTTGCTAGAGGAAAAGGGGCGGCAACAAAAAGATGGAGTAAAGCGACACCGAAACCTAAAAGAAGTAAAAGGTAAGCGTGTAAGAAAGCCGCAACCCTTAAAAGGAATAGACCCAAGCCGAAGCCCTAAACGGACCCCCAAAACCCAAGAAGAAGTAAACCCAGGCCGAACCCCAAAAAGGAGTGTTCCCAGACCGAAACCTTAAAATACCGAAACCCTTAAAGGAGTAAACCCGACCGACACCCAGGCCGAAGCCTTAAAAGGAGTAAACCCAGACCGAAACCCGAATGAAAGAAAACAGCGGTAAACCCCGGCCGAAAAACTTCAAGGAGTAAACCCAGACTGAAGCCTTACAATAAGAAAGTCTAATCCCTCGAAGGAGTAAACGGACCCCGATAGTTCAAAAGAAGTAGACCCAGTCCGGAGCCCTAAAAGGAGAAAACCCAGACCGAAACCCTAATGAAAGAGGGCCCAAGCCGAAACCCTGAAACCTAAACGGGGTAAAACGACTCCGAAACTTTAAATGAAATGAACGGTAAGCTTGAATGAAAGCCGAAACCCTAGAAGGACGAAACCCATGCCGAAGGCCTAAAGGAGTAACCCCAACCCTAAAAGGAGCAACTTTGGCCGCCCAGACCGAAAGCGTGATGAAAGAAGGCTCAAACCCTGGAAGCCTTCTTGCCAGCAGTGGACGGCTAGCGAGGGGCCTTCGCTCGAGATTGTTGTGTCGCAAAAAGTAAAAAGACACAGGTGACACACAACAAAAAATACCAGTGACACAGGAAAAAAGAACCCCACGTGGCATGCCATAGTCGAAGGCGAGCGCCCAGCACGCCCCAGGATGAGGCTCCGGGGACTGGCCACATGGCCGGCAATTCCACGCAGCGAGGATTCACAACCCACACCCTGAAAAGCGGGGCGCACCTTTTGCTGTAAACCAAAAAGCCTCCGGATCAAGACAACGTGTACACTCCAGCATTCAAACTCCCCCTTCAGCGTCCCGCTGAAAAGAAGAGATGTTGCGGTCTGATCTAACGGTTGCAACTGTAGGTTTACACGGCGAGCGCCCCAGGCTCGAACATCAGTCAGCACAACTCTTTACAAACTCAAGGCTTCAAACACGCCACAGAAATCTACTTGCCTGCTGCGCGGGCGCCGGGAACGAGCTTTAGCTCAGTTCTACCCTTCCACTTTCGATCTGCCAAGGTCCTTGCAGGCTTGTGCAGGTTTCTGTAGTTGTCGGCGACATGCTGCGTCTCTCCGTCCGCGAAGCGAGCAAATGTTTCGCGCTCCCGGGTGAGTTGGTCCTGCTTGGGACCGGATGCTGTAGCTCCTGGAACAAACATCTGTACTATGGGGTTGGCGTGCCAGCGGATCACCACATTCTCTTTCCATTCCCAATAATCGCATTTGCCGACTGCAGGTCGGACGCTGTAGTCACCGGTCGCTCTCGTCACGCCCAAGGGCTCCGTAGGGGCGGGGACAACAGTTCTCCGCCGATGCATTCCCTGGGAAGTTGTAGGCGCTGAGGAAGAGATGCCAGCTCTGGGCTCGTTCTCCTCCTCAGAAGTGGTAACTGCAGGATCATCACCAGGATCCCTTCCGCAAGTCGACTCCTCCGCGAGGGGCGTCATTCTCAAACGTAGACGAAAAGTCGCCACTACACCCTTGAAGCACTCCCACACCGCGATGACCGCAATAATGCACACAAGCAAGAACTGGCAGTCGAAGGAGTCCTGGGCCTCAGACTCAGGCGCTGACGCACCGCTTGCTTGCTCAACCAGGGAGGCCAACCACACAAGCAAAAACAGTTTCTTGACCGGCTCTGACTTGGCTGTAGACACCTCGGCCTCCTGGCAGCGCTTTCTCACCACGCCTATTCGATCAGTCAGAAAACCAAAACGGTCAGCCGACAAGGCTTTAGCCCCAAGCTCAGTTAGCATCACGCGACCATCAACGTGGTGGGCGGTCCAGTCCGCTTGCTCAAGGAGCTCACGGATCAGGCTGCCCCTGATCCGCAAGTGTGTTGTCCTCCATGACCCAGCCGCCGTTCGACACACCGCCAACGCCGCCTGGCTGTCCGAGTGGATGGCCTTGATCACCTCATTCACCTTCATGTTATCCTTCAACATCACCTCCGCGATCAAGTGTTCCACTGACTTCAGACAGGTCGCAAATTCACAAATGGCCACCAATTCACTTTCCGCGGTAGACATCGTCACAAAGGCTTGTCTACTGCTGGTCCATACGACCAATCCACCCATCATGAAGACCATAATGGTTTGCTGACTTCGCCCTGAGTTCGGGGCAAAGCTAGCGTCGCAGAAACCTTCAACCACCACTCCTGGAGACTGAACACGAGCATCGGGAGTGAGCTGTGGATCGGACGTGTAGTAGATGCCGCCTTTCGGGTAGCGCTTCAAACACTTGAGCAAGTGCCCTCCTCGGTAAACCGCCTCCTTGTGGTTCTTGCTGGTGGCCTGAGACAGAAGATTCACAGCATACAAGATCTCCGGGCGACATCTCCCGGCCAACCACTGAAGCTCGCGAGCCATCGTTTGAGCTGCTCGAACAAAATCTGCAGCCACTTCGGTCTCCTTGATCACGAAGTCCTCGGGCGACAGCTGAACGGGGGCCGGAACGTCCTCGTAGCCGACGAGATCCCTGTAGCGGGCCAGCTGGTCCTTGGTGTAGCTGTCCTGCTTGAGAACCATCCCTTTGTCCGAATCATCTGAGCTGTCTCCTTGGCCACCAGAGGTTCCCCTGCAATCAGTAGATCACCCACGTAGCATACAATGGCTTCGGATATACGGCCACCTACTAATATGTACCACAAGCTTCCATCCACCTCCGACGGAACAAAGCGGACTTCACCTTCAGGAAGTTTGCTACGCATCTGGGCCATACATAGTCTTGTTTCGGTACACCTCCCAAAAACCAGAGCGTGGCGAAGTCACCATGCCGTACAAAGCTCTCTTTACCCGCCAAATCGTTTCCCGACAAACGCAATAAAAATGCCGTTCGCACATCCATCATACAAAGGGTCCAGGTTTGCTCCTGCCGCATATTTCTGGTCCTTGGAGAACATCTGACCAAGAAAGTTGCCGCAGATAACTGCTCGAGTTTTGGAGACGTCCAGTGAAGGCCTTCACCGTATGCGCTGTTTTTGTGGGAGCCAGGTCGAAGTCCTTGCCCTCCCTTTTCCACTGCTCAAGGGTCCCCATTTCCTCGCCAGCTGAAGGGTTCCATCCAAACCGCTGCCCACCTCTGGCGCCGTCGAGAACTGCAACAGATGAACTTTTTCCCCAGCCCCACCCGGCTGGTAGGCACAAGGCACCAGGAAAATCATCGCCTCGACCGTCACCGCCCTCACCGACACCACTTCGTGACGTAGTTCTTCCGGTAGGCTTTCCTAGAAGTAATACTGCCGCTTGCTGCTACTCCCGCTGGTGTCTATCTTGCGCCGGCCTGTGACTCAAGACCGACTGCCTCAAAGAAAGCTCTGAACCACAGTTCATGTCTGCCTGTAGTGACCATGATTGTGAACGTTTGTATATATCTCTTGATCTCTACGTTGTGACGACGCCCAATCGTGCGCGGGAGGCTTTCGACACAGCAGCTCACGCCGTAGAGGATCATTGCGGCATCGCATCCAACCTCGGCACGCACGCGGACACGACCAGGCTGTCTGGGAGGCTCTCCCGTCATCCGCGCCCGCCTCCCGCA